GGACAATATTTGATAACCATTCCTTTGTATATAGTCTTATATTAGTTTAGAACCTTCTTATTTAGACAAAAAGGGGGAGATGTAGTGGGTAGCCATTCCAGTTTGGATCTGGAAGTTCCAACTCCCATTGAGACTCTGGCAACTGTCATGCCTACACCTAAGAGGCGGGGCCGGGGAGGCGCCTGGAGACCTGAGAGCTGGATAGGCGAGCGCTCTCTCTGTGCCGGGACGCTGAACAGTGGAGGTGGACTGAGCAGAGCTCCAGAGAACACCGCTGGACTTCGATACACCTTCCCCAGACCCCACAACCTACCTTTCCCTTTTTGTAAGTTGCCCACTAAATAAACCTTCCTTCTAACTAAGTGGAGTGGCCTTAATAATTTCACCAATACTGGTGTGTCAGTGTGGATGTAAGCTGTGGCATGAAAAAATGCACACACACTCTCACATACACATGTGTACACACACACACGTGTACACACACACGTGTACACACACACACGTGTACACATACACACACACACACACACACACACACACACACACACACATACAGTCACAGAAAGAGGAAACTCTCTGGCAAAGGTGATCACATAATAAGAAAAGTAAACATTGCCCTGGCAGTCAAGTTTGAATGTCACATCATGGCGCACTAGGAGAGAAGATGGAGGGAAGTGAACCTTGGGGTTATGTGAGAGATGCGCTGTGTGGCCGGAGGGACGGCCAGCTTGGTCCTGCGGGCTGCAGGAACATATCATAAGAATTCAGCTGGTTATGGCAAAGTCACTACCTGGAGGAATCAGGGAATTCCTCTAGAGGAAGCCAAATCCCAAGGAGCTTTTGGTGTTACTTGGCTTGTAATTTATCAGCTGTATTCTGTTATGAAAATCATGTGTGCCTTCATAGTTTTCCCAATTGACTTTTCCCTAAGAAGGGCTAACAGTGTGGACTGATCACTCTCTGGACATACACATTCCAGGTATTTGGAGAACAGCCTCAGGAAAGGCTTCCTCTGGAATCAGATATCTCCCTTGGCCACTTTCAAGGACTACAGGAAACACCACCCAGGTGGGCGCCCAACTTCCAAGGACTAACAATGATAACAGCCCACTTGCAAGTCTCCTGACTTAAATTCCACAAGGAGACACTCCCAGGTGGGCGCCCAACCTTCAAGGACTAACAAGTGATAGCAGCCCACGTACAAGTCTTCTGACTTACAGTAAATTCTACAAGGGGACGCCGCCTAGGTCAGGTGGACATTAAGTAATAGCTGTACACAATTTAGCTTAGGCTCTCCTTTCTTACAGCCTTACTAACTTTAGACCTCTAACTCCTTACCTAACCACTTCTAGGAATATTTAGGTTTTTAACATTCTTTACCAAACACATTTTAGACTATAGTTGAGCACATAAGATTCCCTCTTAGATATTACCCGAATTTAGCCTTTAGTCAATTCATTAGTCACTTCCCCTTTGGGTCGCAAATGGTAATCAACAACTAGTGCCCCTCATTGTGATTCTTATCACAACTCTCTTTGATCCTGATAGTGGACAATCACTGCCTGAGGAAGTTCAGGCTGGGTGTCCTGGGTGGAGAGGAGGATTGTGATTTTGGAAGGATACATAACTGTAAAGCAAGGGACGAAGGAGAAAAAAAAGTGAATGGACTAAGAGCTCGGTGTGCTGAGATTCATTTTTCCCAAAAATAGTCCTCACCATCAGTAGTTCTCTCTCCTGAGCTCCTGGGATGTATAATATTGAGGCTGGCTCCTCTAATATTATACAAGAGCTTGGCAGCATGAAATAAGAAGAGCTGTTAACAGAGGGGGCAGAGACGGACTGAGGATGTAGCTCAAGGCAGCAGCACTTGCAGCCTGCACAGAGCAGGGGCTCTGGCCTACCTCAGTGAAGAAGTCTTTCTAAGGGGAGGGATTGACCAGGATGAGCCCCAAGGACTCACATCCTCACCTGGTGCAGATGTTAAGGACCATAGTATTCTCCGCACCCTCAGGCTTCTTGGCTACAATCAGAAACAGAAAGATGGGAGAAGGTATCTTCGGATCCTGGTTCAGGAGGAGGGCAGGGATGGGAAGGGGTGGGGCCGGAAGGTGATGGAAGGGTCTTTATTCTGCTCACCTGTATCAGGGGCTGGTGATGTGGTGACCCTAAGGTCAAACTTCTTGCAGGTGACTTTGCTTTTGACTTTGGCATAATACACTGTTACCACCTGGTGGGAGGAGACAGAGTCCCATAGGAGCATAGGATGACCGAGGACAGGGAGAGGGGACAGGAGAGAGCGGTGGGCCCAGCAGGTATGGGTTCCTTCCTTACCGACAGCGTGCCCTGGCCTTTTCCTTTGGCTGTTAAAGAGAAGGCTTCGTTTTGCTTGGTCTACATGGAATTGGGGGAGAGAAGAGGGGTGTTAACAGCCAGCTTCAGGACCACAGAATGCTCAGTAGGCAAGGTGCTTGCCTTATAAACGTGAGAACCTGGGTTTGATCCCAAGAATCCATGTAAAACAAGCCAGGCATGAGCTTGAGAGACCAGCACAGGGGAGGCAGAGAGGGGGATCCTTGGGGCCTGCTGACCAGCCAGCCTAGGCTATTTGGTGAATGTTAGCCCAGCGAGACACTCTATCTTGACACACAAGAAGAACAGCACTGAGGGATGGCATCGAAGGTTGTCCTCTGGCCTCCACACACACATGCACAAATGTTCCCACACCTGTACACAGGCAGGCACACACGTGAGTGCACATACAAGGCCAGCTGCCCCTGGCTCTGATGGCTCTGGCAGGCATTTGACCTCTCTCCTGCAGCCCTGGCTGGTACAGAAGGTGGAAGTGAGGGAGGTGAGGGGTGAGGCTGTACCTCTTCTGATCGTAGGAGGCCGCCAGTTTCCCAGAGCAGGCGAAACTTGGTTGGGGAGCTGCGGCTGGGGAGGTGGAAGGACACGTCCATGTTCAATTCCTCGTGGTTGGGGACGTCTGTCTGGTATTGGGCCAAGGCTTGGAATACCATGAAGGTGGCCTAGAGCCCATGGGATAGAAAGATGGTTAGCTTTGCATTCTGATTGGTGGTTAGGATGTGCTGGGGAGAGATAATGATGTATGGGTCAGAATTATGGCATCAGCAACACACACAGAACCTGCAAAGATAAAGCTAGAAAGGGGTGGATGTCCCAGAGCTCTATGTGTGAGGTCAGGCCAGGGCTGGTCATCAGTCAGTCTGTGGGCTAGAACCCACCACAGTGTGAAGAGAATAGTGGAGGTCACTGGATACTGAAGGCCTGTCTAGAATTCTCCAAGGAAGCAAGATTTTGTTCAGAAGTTACCAATGCTGAACACATGCCAGGATCTATCAGAAAATCCAAGTGTAAGACTGAAGGTCTAGAACCTCTAGACCCATCAAGAGGAAGGAGTCTTAGACTTGGGCTTAGGAGGCCAGGAATTAGTCTAGAACCATCTCATGAACTGGAGAGTGGAGGTACCAAACTCTAAAGTGATACTGAGGAGGGAACATTGAGAAGTGATTGACAGCCCATGAGAAAGAAAGATCAAGCTTGAGCCTGAGCTTGCCCTAGTTTCCAAAGTCATCATCCAGAAAGCTCTAGAAGAAGATGCACCGGGCAGTACCCTTGTGTAGATGAGAACTGATATAGAATATACCAACAACCAAAAGGTGATGGTAAGAGTCTGGATGGAACTGGAATCTTGGTCTAGAATTCACAAATATGAAAGTGTGCCATTTGAGAACCCGGCGGAATATAGAATGTGATCTAGAACCCACATGTGAAAGAGAGGGACATTGGGAGTCCCCTGGAGTGAAGAAAATAATCTAGAATCCTGCAGTGATAAGAGGACATTGGAAGTCTAGTGAAACCATGAATCCACACATGAGAGAGGAAGACACTGGGAGCCTAGTCAAATTGAGACCATATTCTAGAACCTTCCAGGGATGGGGGGGGCATTAAGATCCTGATGGAACTAGAAACATGACCTAGAACCCTCCAGTTAGCGTGACTTTGGGGGAGCCTAGGAACATGATCTTGAACATTTTGATGAGAATGGGGGATATTGGGAGCCTAGGAGAATGAAGAATATAACGTAGAACCCTCCAGCAAGCAAGAGCACCATTGGAAGCCTGGTGGAACAAGGCACATGATGTAGTTTCTCTGCTTGCCTGCAGTCTCCCACACTGCTGGGACAGGGGGGCTTCACGCCTGCATCTTGGGTCTCTTCCAGGAGACCTGGGAGGCAAGCGCTGGCGCTGGAGGCCACTTGCCTGTGTGGAGCCGTAGCCGCCTCCGTAGTATCTCTGCTCGTTCAGCCAGCGGACCACAGGAGGCACCGAGTCGAAGTCCTTCAGTAACAGCAGGGCCAGGAGGGCATAGGATGTGGCCTCCACGTTGTAGAGCTGCTGGCCAGGCTCCTCCCAGCGGTTCCGATCTGCACAGGGGACACCCCAGCCCCTCATCCACTGCCTGTGCACCTGAGAGTGACTCA